CCAGGGCTTTTTTCCCTTGGAGAACTGGTTGTTAAACATTTATCAGCATACCACTGTTGCAGTATGTATTATGTAGTCCTCTTATATTGATTCTTATATGGTAAATCTGCTTTTAGAATCTTACTTACAGAACTAAGTTGACTGAGTTAAGAAAACTTTCCTTGACTCTGAACTCTATGGTCCTTATTGCTATATTAATTTTACATAATCAAGAAGCCTGCAGTCCAGGAGGAAGCTTGTTGGCCACAAATAACAAGTCACAAAAGGACTGTTTGAAAGAACAAGAATTCTGTTCAACAAACCTTTATTTAGCAGCTACTATGTACAAAACTGTGTGCTGAAAGCTAGGGAGGATATTAGACAAATAACAGTGAATGTTCTCACTTTAGAGGAGGTGACATAAAACCTTTGGTGATACAGTGCAACAAGGGCTATAGTGGAGATACAGAAGCATGGAGGAAAGAAGGCCATTAGAGAGACTTCAGCGAGAACCTCAACTATAAGCATCAGTGTCTGTCTTGTTCTCCACTGTGTCCCTAGCACCTAGCACTGTGCCCAGCACAAGGTTGGCTCTCAATAACTATTGGATGAATGAAGGAGGTTACCTTGATCCTGGAAAAATAAGCCAGACAGATAAGAGTGGGTAGAGGGAGGTGTTAGAAAAAAACATACTGTGCAGAGGCGTAGGGAGAAAAGAGCTCAGCACATCTGAAGAGAGAGAAAAGTTAATGTGGCATGAGGGGTCCAGGGGCCAGAACTGGTAAGATGAGAGTATGGAAGAGTTCTCTGCCTCACATCTCTGTAGAGATCTCAAAAGACCAAAGGACTTGGCTTGTTCTGTGCAGCCCTGAGGGCAGAGCTAAGAGCAATGAGGGGAGTCTCAGAGAATCAGATTTCAGTTAAAGAGCTTTCTACCAGAGCTGTCCAACAGTGCAGTGGGCCACATAGGAAGGCTGTGAGCAAGTTCCCTAAGGCAGAAGCAAGCAGGTGCCAGACAAACTTGGTACAACAAATTGCTATGGGTAATTTTTTTTCCTGACTAGATTTTGGAAAAATTTATCAAATCTCCTTTTCTTTTGCGGTACGTGGGCCTCTCACTGCTGTGGCCTCTCCCGTTGCGGAGCACAGGCTCCGGACGCACAGGCTCAGCGGCCATGGCTCACGGGCCCAGCCACTCCGCGGCATGTGGGATCCTCCTGGACCGGGGCACGAACCCGTATCCCCTGCATCGACAGGCGGACTCTCAACTACTGTGCCATCAGGGAAGCCCTCAAATCTCCTTTTTAAAGGATATTAGATAATATATGGACAACCATCCTCAACAGTATTTCTACAGATGACACAGAAACTTTTCTCAAGAGCTCCTTTCTTATGTCAATCACTGATTAAAGCTGAGAGCAACAGGGGTGCTGAAGCCTCTCCCATGAGAAAATAATATCACTGAGGTCTTCATTCCTTCATGAAGCAATTATTTACCCAGTATCTTTGTGTATCAGGGACTTTGCTAAATGCTGGAAATATAGATATAAATGAAAACAAACAAACAAACCCTGCCCTCAGAGTGCAGGGTAGAAATGCAAATATTTACATTTCAACAGTTAAAATACAAATTTTTGCTATTTGCTAAAAGTTTTGCTACCAAAAATTCACTTTGCCTGGGGGACTCAGAGAAGGCCTGAGAGAGAAATGACTCAGAGCTGACTTTTGAAAAGTAAAACAAAATTCACTAGATGAAGGAGGAGAAAGATAGTCCAGGCAGAAGGAAAACATATACAAAGCTATGGAGGTGTGAAAATGCATGGCCAGTTTGGGAGGTGAGTGGCTGGTGAAAGTATAGGGTAGGTGGCAAAGCCAAAATATGTGTGGTCTTGAATCCAATGCTAATGATTTTGGATTATAATCCATAAATGATAGGAAGTCAGTAATGTTTTATCCTGTTATATATTTAATAAACCTTTTATTTTGGAAGGGTTTTAGATTGACAGAAAAGTTGCAAAGATAGTACAGTGTTTTTATCTAAGAACCATAGATCTTTCACCCTGTTTCCCCCAATGTTATCATGTTACATAGGCATGGCACATTTGTCAAGACTAAGAAACCAATGTTGGTACATTACTATAAACTAAAGTATGGACTTTATTCACCAGTTTTCCCACTAATGTCCTTTTACTGTCCCAGAATCCAATCCAGGATATCACATTGCACTTAATGTTATATATTTTTTATTTCCAATAATGGGTTTTAAGTGGGAAAATGATGTGATCAGATTTGTCAGTAGAAATGATCAACATAATCCTTATGGCAAGTGTGAAGAAAATAGAATGGAGGGGCCACGCTAGGGGCAGAAGACTTGCGAAGAGGCTGTTAAGAAAGTCCAGTAGGGGATGAAGATGGCCTGAGCTCTGAGGACAATAAGGATGGAGAGGAGTGTTGAGACCTTTTTTGTCTCATGGTAGAGACCTTTCCTGAAGTAGAATAGATAGGATGTAAGGGAGGCCAATCTCAATCCACCTCTTTTACCTAAGACATGAATATATGTGTATAGCAGACTTTAAACAAAGATGGAGAAAGGAAAAGAGCTCTGTCCCAAGTCCTTGGGATGAGGTTATTTCTGCAATTAAACACTAAAATGGGAATTCCCTGGAGGTCCAGTGGTAGAACTCGGCACTTTCACTGCCAAGGGTGAGGGTTCAATCTCTGGTCAGGGAACTAAGATCCCACAAGCCTCACGCAGAGTGGCCAAAAAAAGGGGAGGGGGGAGGGAGTACGCAATTAAACACTAAATTTAACTCTGAGTTCCCTGAAAGCCTAAGCAAAAAGGGAAACTCAAGGGAGAGGAAGTGGCTGGCCGTGTTGGAGAAGGAGAAATTAAGCTTGAAGGGCACCGAGGGGCAGATCGTGTTTGTCTCTATTTCGGAGAGCCCTGGGGAAGCCCTGTTTCCGGGATCACTGGTTCCTCCAGTGCTCTCTGTTCTTGGAGAGCATGGAGGCAACACAGTAGATGCGGAGCACAGCCATAGCCTAGGAAGTTATCTTTACAGACACAGTCAGAAGTGCTTCAACCTGGAAATGTGATTCCCTACCAGAGTGGGATGTGATTCAACATCCCATCTTCTTATTCCTCCCGGTCTTCTCCCCTCCAACATTCACTGGAGTTTCCAGCAGCTCTGCAAGAGAAGCTGGGCAGGAAGCTGAGGTCCAAACTGGGGGTGGATGAACTTACACAAGATGTCCAAGCTAGGGAGAGAGCCAGGACAGCGGCCATGGCTCACGGGCACAGCCGCTCCGCAGCATGTGGGATCTTCCCGGAGTGCGGCACGAACCCATGTCCCCTGCATTGGCAGGCGGACTCTCAACAACTGCGCCACCAGGGAAGCCCAGCCCTGCCCTTTTGAGTTCAGATTTTGAGTGTTTCTTATCTGGACAGAGCTGGTGGTTCTCTTCTTAGGTCCTATTAATTCATACACTCATTCAGCACGAGGTTTGGTGCACCAACCATGGGCTGGGGTGGGGAGCTCTAGGCTTTGCCCTCCCAGAACTCACCTTCTGGTAAGAAAGACAACACTTTGACAAAAAGCACTTACTCAAGAGGACTGAGTATGACAAACACTCTCAGAGAGGTGCAGGCCTCATCTGCAGAGGCAAAGGAGAGATTGTGTCCTGCTTCAGGACTGGGAGGGGAAAGCAGAGGAAGACTCCCAAAGTAAGGACCAAGGATCCCTCTGGGCTGGATTTCAGCTTGGGCATATGGTGTCTGTGGGTTCGGGGGGTAACTGGTAAGAGCATTCCAGGCTCCTGGAATTAGGCCCCCTTCCTTTCGAGATCTGAGTGCTTTGACGTTCATTATCTCATTTCATGTTCGAAATAATTGCGGGAAGACATTAAAATATCAAAAGGTACTGAGATCCCAATTTTAGTATCGGGATCTGGGAAACAGACTCAGGTGGAGTGGCCAAGTCCACAAACAGAATTAAGAACAGCAAGTGTCCCGATTTCATCCAGAGGCGGAGTTCCGTGCACGCACCGCCGAGTTCCCTAACCTGAGCACCTCTCGGTTCCTCAGCCCGCTTCCCCTCCCGGACTCGACATCTCATCCTTCCCCACCCCCAGTTCCCACCTGAAGCCTAACTGGGTTCGGTCCTCCTGCACTCTGGGCGCCGCGGGGAGTCAGGGGTTAAAACCCGTGGCCCGGGTGGCTCCTTCCCCCTCCCCAGCCCCCTCGCCTCCTCTCGGCGCCGCGCCTGGAGCGTCTGTCCCAGAGACCGGCACTAGAGAGGAGGGGGAAAAGTGGGCCTGTTTCTCGGGTGGCCAATCCACCGAGCCCGCGGTGCCCCAGAGGAGGCGCCAGCGCTAGGCCAGCGCCAGGCCGGGGCTGCCTGCTTCCCGCGGCAAAGTACAAATGCGCCCGAGCGCGGCGCCTGGCGCCCTTGGCGTGCACAGCCGGCCCGCGCGCAGCCTCCCCCCGCGGCCGTCGCGCCATCGCCGCTGCCGGTCCCGCCGCCCCGCCGGGCCCCAGGACCCCGCGGCCCGACCCCGAGCCCAGCGAGCAGAGGGCGCCTGACGCTTCTAGCCCGCACGCCCGGAACAGCCCGCCGGTCCCGCGCGCCTCGCCCAGCGCTGCGCGCTCGGTGGAACCCTGTCCTCTCCTGTCTTTCTTCTCCACCCCTCCCTCTCACCTTCTCCTTTGCTTTAATCGCTTTCCCCTCTTGCATACCTTCCTCTATCCCTCCATCTCTTT